TATATATATATATATATATATATATATATGTATGTATGTATGTATGTATGTATGTATGTATCACAAAGAAGTATGAAGACATGCCTAGAGGGAAAAGAATTGAACACCTGAAATTTATTAAGATAGAGTAATGGCAAAAGAATAAAGTTGCAAGTTCCATAGACTTTCACGAAATCGGATACAACATATCATTATGTACATACATTGCCACGCAGGAGAACACAACGCATTTTGATGAAGACGCTTTGGGAGTCCATGGGGACAAACACATGACATAATCTTCTTAAAAATGTTTTCCCAACAACATCAGTCACTAATGTAGCAATGGTACAAAAAAAAAAAAAAAAAAGCATTTGACTGAAAGACAATACTACAAAGGAGAAAGGATCCTGCAACATCAACCCTAGCTCTAACAATTGCAATCTCCTGTTACACAACTTCTAAGTGAACAATTAATCCGCCGTCCAACTCTGCTCAACAATTTCACGCACCTTCCTATTGTATTCACGTTTGTTCTCGCTAAACAACCGTGCAGCTTCAGAGTTGGCTGGTGAGTTGGGATTTGGATCACAGAGCAGAGACTGCAATTGTACATGGAAAAAAATAACTCAATAAAATTTGAGTAAGGCCATACTGGAGCTGCTAAATTGAAAACAAATGCTCCTCCACAATTTTTTGTCAATATACAACTTTCTCTGGAAAGACCAGAACATGCAAACCTAACAAGAGCATTCACGGTTAGCCTTTGTACTATACATCAATTCTGACTAATTTCTTTATATCCTGTAGCATGATGTACATTTGTGATTCAATGTAACAAACTTCAGGTAACTACTGCTTCAGGCATACCAAGTTCGCATGGAGAAAATGAAAGATAAATATGCCAAAAAAGTTGGGTTAAACAATGTTGAATATAATTATTCAGGAAATATATCATGATGAGGGACCAAAAATTTTGTAAAAAGTTTGAACTAGTCAAACATCGAGCAAGTAAATTTAACAAGCGAGAACCGATAGGTAGTTGTTTTCATCTAAATACCTCCCCATCACGTGCTTATGCATAATGCAATCGCAAGAAACTTCTTGGCAAGAAAAGAATGAATATAACAATGAGGAAAGTTAAACCGAATTGAACACAAACAAGTAAAAGACTACTTGGTTTCCTAATAGTTGTTATCAGGTTCAGTCAAGGGAAGCTCCAATTGTAACTTTAAGCACGTCTCTTTGTGGGTCCAAATTTACAAGCATATGTACGAAAGCATATATAATGATACCATGAGCGCTTTAGGGCGTCCTCAAGATATGTTTTCAGTTACCAAAATAAGCAATGAAAACATGATCCAGCATACAGTTATTAAAGATATAACAGATGAAATACGAATTGCATCTTTACAAATTCTCCAATAGCTTTTTGAGACCTAGTTAATATTTAATGAGAAATTAGAACACTTCAAAGTATCTTCTGGAATTTTCACATAACATCTTCTGACAGGTTACTATTTTTGAGAATCACAATGAAGTTGGTTGATGTTCTATTATTATAATTGTGTTTAGTTTAACAAGAGAGAAGGAAAAAAGCATAAAATCTTGTCACACCTGGATAGAAGTAAGTGTCGCAGCTACTATTTTTGAGAATCACAATAAAGTTGGTTGATGTTCTATTATTATAATTGTGTTTAGTTTAACAAGAGAGAAGGAAAAAAGCATAAAACCTTGTCACACCTGGATAGAAGTAAGTATCGCAGCTACGTCATATATCGGACTCCATTGATTTTGCAGAATATCCAAGCAAATACTTCCATCAGCATAAACTAGTTGATACAAAATAAAAACATGACAAACATGACAATCTCTCCAAATTATAGTAAATTCAAGGAGAGAAGGGAAGGCCACATAAAAGAGTGAATAACCAAGCAGATACAAAAAAAAAATGAATCAACCAGGAAAAAAAAAAGGCATAAATATGAATCGGGTCAAATATAAAACAACTGAAAAAGGCAAGACCCGTGGCCCACAGCTGTGTCTGATTTTCAACTTTTTCCTCACTGTATGCTTGTCAATATCAAAATAAAATTTTAAAAAGATGTGATACTTTTTTAACATCAAAGACAGAGAGTTAATGAACTTGTTAGTCATGGTAAACTTCAGTATCACCAAAATAGATTTAAAAAATAGGTACATAATAAAACACAAATAATCATGCAACCAGTCAAGCATTGTACATTGGTACATAAATCAAGACTCTCTTTAAAAAGATCCCAAAGTATGGAAATGGGATAATGTGCTGATGCAGTAACTTTACTTTTTGTACGGATATTGAAAAAGATTGCAACTACAAGATGACTTGATGAATAAGTATGCTGAAACAAGCAATACACACCAAAGGCAAACCGCTCGAAACAATGTAAAACCAACAGCATATATTTCCTGTGCAACAGTGAAAGAGACAGAAGAGATGATAACTTGGTAACAGTTCATTAGGTGGGACTAAACTTTCATGAATGCACACTATAAAGTATAACCTAGGATTAAGAGGAGAAAAAATCCTGACATCTTGTAAAACTAGAGAGGATTTTAAACATATCAAATGGTAATCAAACAGCAAATATTTAGAGCTGCTAAAATGAGGAGGGGGGAAGAGATGATCTTATGAAGTATGTCTATAGAAAAATATGCAAAAATCCACTTAACTAATACCATGAAGGTTTTCTTCAGAAACAAGGTATAGATTACTGGTTAAAGGAATATTGACTCAGGATATAACACAAGGTTTGTTCTTGAAAAATTATTAAATATTATAATTACTAATTATCTGAGGGTCGATGCATAAACAACCAATATCGACCTTTATACAACTTTGATTTGAGAAGTAAATCATACAAAATATCCAGGAAATACCCAAATGTCAGGCAAAATGACTTGGGGATGCTTGTAAAACTCATAAATAAAATTGATTTAATTTAAGGAAACCCATCAATTGACGTAGCTATATTGTAAAGTCCTTGCTTTGCCATCTAACCTGTTCACCTAGGAATTTTGACCATGAGATTCTTAATTCTTACAGTACAGAAAGAATTATAGAGAAAACTATTATGCAGATAAAAGCATGATTAAGTTATTGCTTTATTTCAGTTAACATACAGTGCTATTTTTTATTGTTCTGAAGTTCCCTAGAGTTTACAAAGGCATGCATTAATACATGAGTTTTCACAGGAAAATTCTCTCCTCTTTATTTTGCTATATCTACAGATCCACACAGTTAGGATTGGCCACGTAATTCATGCAAACATTCCAAAGCGAGTGAAGGCAGGAGAAAAGTTCTCAGCCATATAGGCATAAAATCTTTTGCTATGATCATGAAAGCAATTAAAAGTAAAATATTTAAGTTACTTACTGTTTGGATGAAACATTCTAGATATAAACCGCACCGTTGGTGGCTTATTTGGGTAATCTTCCAAAAATTGAAGAGTCAGCTTAAATGTCCCTGAAAGCAAACAACAATATTATCGATCGAATAAAATAGGCTTCAGGAAAATCAGAAGAAAGACACTTTTGCATGTGATGATATGGGTTCAGAGAAAATCATTATATCCAGAAAACCAATTTTCAGAGATAACTTCCATATGAACTTTCCTAAACAAATCAAAATGCCCATTGAATTGGACTTTCCTTATTCGTCAGTGCAATTCGGCCCCAAAAAAAGACCACGAAGTTGTGCAGATGCACTATTCTGTGTTGGGAATTTGATCATTTCGTCCAACCAGAGGATTTCCCGTGATTCCATGAACTTTTTTAGAATACTCTTTTCGATCATATACGAGATATTAGTAACAAGGAAATACAAAAATAGATTTGTATTCAATGAGAAATATGTAAGAAGAAAAAGCATTGGTAGTCCATGCGATCACAGATCAGAAATTGAAAGATTCTGAATTCAATTAGGTTCTCTTCATCTACACAACACTCTACCCTTGATTGTCATGAGAATTATATAGGGAATGCCGGAACAGATAGTGACACCTTACAGAAGTAGTCTTGACCTAAACACATCTAACCTTAGATTACTATGTTAGGACAGGTCCACCTGGTTTGTTTATAAGAACAACGGTTATTTGATCACGTGCTATTACAATTAACATGGCCCCCAGTTAAAACCCTTCATTCCAAACTAGAGTGGCAGAAAAATCATATCGATGACAGAGAATGCATATTAAGATCCATTTAAATTGAGACACCCAATTCTACATAGCAAGAAACCTAACCTGAAGTCTAATTCCTTATTTGGCTCAGACATTGGGATAAGTATTGCAGACAACTTCAAGAATGACAATATAACAATGACAACATGAAATATATAAAGAAAAATATCCTGATAACACGTGAAACATCACAGCAATGTTTTGAGTTCTCGTGAAAGAATATTCTCACCTCCATCCCAAGGAGTGTCGTCTGGGCTGCAATTTAAAAAACAAAACAAAAAAAAAACGAGGACAACCAGTAAAAATCGAAACTTCAACCATCGCCAGTGGCACCCAAAATAAAAATTAAAAAAAAAAAAAATCCGTAAGCACGCAAACAAGTAGCGTTAAACAATTCAATTGAAAGAACGTACCCAAATATAACAGCATTCCATAGCATAATGTTATTATCACAAGGTGCACCACTGATGCCAGCCGGAGAATCCTGCTGCAACCGCTTGAAATCCCTCATTAGTCGCTTCCTCGCGGGTGTCGACATCCTTGCGCTGTACAAACAATAACAATTAAATTCTTCCTTCTCCCTACCCAATAAACAATCTTTAAAACAAAATTAAACCCTAGATCCATAAACTCTAGTCATAAATACAAGCCATACACATAAGTCAATCAACTAGGGTTACGTAACATACATATCAGGAAAACATCATCCGTCAAAACAAAAGTATATATTTCGGGTGATTGGCCTCCTGAGGACTCTACTTTCGTCTGTTGTCGGCCTTAATATACGAATTCGAGATTTTGAGATCGCGTGAAAATTGTTGTTTTTTATTTTTATGTGACATATATAGGTGGGATATAGGTATTATCCGATGTGGAAATATATGATTCGGCTGATATTACTTAGGATTGGCAAAGGAGCGGGGCTCCGACCATTCCGTTGGGCATTTTTCCATCACGTATCCGCCCATTTAAGGTACTTATTTAATTTTTTATATAATTTTTGATAATTTATTTTATTGTCCTTATTTATTCAAGCGAGATATTAATATAATTATTAAAATTTTTAATTAATTTATTTATTTTCAAAAAATAAATTATTCGAATATATTTGGTAAACTAAAGTTTTTATTGTTTATCATATTCCTTAAATAATCTTAGTTACAATCTTCTATTCGTAGAATTTTTCATTTAAAGAGTTGAATTCTTTATATATAAAAAAAAAAAAGGGCCGGAGGCGGGACGAATATTTTTTTTTTTGAAAGGTAGAGGCAGGACGAATATGTTTGACAACATAACCCTATGTCGTTAAAATTCAAGATTTTGATGTAAAAAAGGATTTTTAAAATGAAATATAATGATGTCAAATAGTATGCTGTCAACAATGATTATACATATAGCGTGATTTCTTTTTATATAGCCCTTCTTTAATTCTCCTACTCATTTTTAACCACATGTTCATATAATATAATATTTTGCACATAAATATTTTAAAAAAATTCCTTATTTCTTAATCATATATTTTCAAAAAATCAATATTCAAAATATATCTTTTTCAGAATAATGGTCATTAAATAGTAATAATAGTGTAATTATAAAAATCCCACCTTTCAAGATAAAATTCTAGGTTCACAATGACGAATGAATCTGATCCATCAATGTGATTGTTGAAGTTTTGATTTTTAAATTGGGTTTCTCTATAATATACGATATAATTTAACTCTCGTTTGGCTCCATTAAAAATAAGATTTTGAGGAAGTGTATATTGAAATGGTGATTTTTGAAAAAATGTATTTTATAGTAATAATTTCTTGGTTCATTTATAATTGTGAAATGGGCACTTTATCTTGAAAGGTTGTAGATCCATAACTATTATTATTGTTACTGTTTGATGGTTATTATTTTGAATTTAATATTATTTTATTAGAGAACGAATGATTAAAAATAAGATTTATGCGTTTTTTAAACTTAGCTCATGTTTGGTATGGATTAAAATTTAGATTTTAATTTAAATTAAGTTAGTGTTTGATTGGTAGAGATTTTGATATTTGATTTTTTGATCGTTAGAGATAAAATGTGTCATTCTTATGAGAGAAAAATTCAAAAATGACGGTTGAAATAGTGAAATAAAAGTCAAAAAATTTATTTTAATTGACTTTTAAACTATACAAAAAAAAAAGTTCAATCACATATTTCTTGAAATCTACGACTTCTTAATTACATATTTCATTAATTTTTATCAATTTTACTAAAACTTGAGATTTCAACACCAAACATGGTCTTAAGTTGAATCGTTGACTTGTAATGTTGAAAATCAATTAAAATAAAAGTGCATTCCTGTAAAATTTAAAAATGAAACGTGGTATTAAGCCCTCGTTTGGTCCCCATTTCATTACATTCTATTTTTCTTTCTCATATTTTTAACCACACAATCTTCTATAAAATAATATTACACATAAATGAAAAACTTTTCCTTCTTTTTCAACCACTCATTTTTCAAAAAAACACAATTCCACCAATTTTCATTACCAATAAATGGGGGCTAAACGGGAGCTAAATATTCTCGATACTCTCGTACCAAGGCTAATCACCTCTCCATAATTACATCAATCAACCATTTACTGCGCATGGCACAAACATCGACCTTAATAGAGTACGCTTCGATTTTCATGAAAAAAAATACGATCGATCGAAGTGGGCAAGCAACGGGATGAAGTAGCAGCAGCTTTAGACGATATTGTACACGTGTAAGCAGTGCCGCCCCTGACTATAAGTGGAGTAGGTGATCGCCTAAGTGGGGCCCCAAATTTTAAAAAAAAAAATTATTTTACATATATTTTTACATATATAGGGTCCTATATTTGAAAGTAATCTAAAACTACCAAATTTTCAGGGTCGGCCTTGCATGCAAATAAGGATGGCAATTTGAACTGTCAAAATCGAAAATCGCGATTAATTGAATCGAACGGGACAAAAAAATCGAACCGATAGTGCAATGGTGCGGATATGGTATTTGATTTTAACGAATCGGTTCGGAACAGTACGGGTATGGTATTTACGTCGTCGCCCCGAATCGAACCGATTACCCATTAAATTTATTTTTTCATCTAAATAGTAATCCAATGCAAAAACATATATAAAAAAAAAAAAATCTAATTTTGCAAATTCTAGAGGACCTTTTTTCTTCCTTTGCAGTCACATATGGTGGTTATTAACTCACTCGTTCTTAAAACAACTCAATCAATAATTTCAATTTCAAAAAACTTATTATCGTATGGTAAATTTGATCATTTGATTAGTTTTATGCATCTGAATTAGTTTGAAATTAAGTATACATAGTTTTTGCTTTTCTTGATTTTGTCATTAGTAACCTAGACATCATTCTTGGTACCATAAATCGTCGCCTTCTTACAGATGTATCCTCTAGCGGCCATTTGTACAATTTTGATCTGGTAAATGATCAACAATGTGAATTGTCTGAAGTGCTCTAATATAATTCACTCGACTATCAGTTGATAACCATCACGTGTGACTTTTTTTCATAAATTGTTTTCTTCAATTTGTCAACTGGACCTATGAAAAATAATTTATTTTCATGGTTATAACGGTCCCGAATCGAACCGAAATCGACTTACATTGTTATAATGTGGTTATGGTATGGCAAAAAAATTGGTAGTTCGATGATAGTTTTGGCTGAACTGACTCAGAGCCGAACCATTGCCAACCCTATGTGTAAAGATCTTTTATCATTTGTTTGTCAATCATTCTACCACATTATTTTTTCTACAGTGCTCATCTTCAATCACACATTCTTTATTAAAATAATATTACACATAAATGAAAAAAAATTCTTCTTTTTTAGCTGCACATTTCAATATCAATTACTATTTCATAATATACTATTTCAAATTAAAGGGACACAAACAAGCCCTTAATATAACGTGGTTGAGGATTTGAAGTAGTTCCATGGAAGAAATAGTGGTAGGGTCTAGTCATATGACCGAATAGAATACAAGTGCACATTGCAAAGCTTCTTTTAAATAAAGGGGAGTGCATGGAGTTGTGACGCAAAAAGCTAACTATAGATACACTCCACTTGCTCATTTAGTTTAGGTTTCTTAGCTAAGAATAGGGGTATTAATTTGATTTGTCAGCTTGTGTTGCCAATGGCTTGGCTCGAAAAAAGTCCGAGTCGACACGGCTTGAGGCTCAGGGCGAGCCCCATTTTGGGGTGTCGAGCCAAGCTCGAGCCAGCCGTTTTCGGCCCGTGATGTGCTGACCTTTTTTAAAAAAAAAAGTTGTAGGGAATTGCTTACTACATTGTTGTCTTTTGCAGACAATTGTAACTGCCTGCAAGACAACATTTTTTATAAAAAAAAGGAAAAAGAGTGTGAACCAACTCGACTTGATGAGGCTTGAAGGCTCCGACTGAGCCTAGATTTTTTGGTTCGGCAAAAAAAAATCGTTTTTATTTGAGCCGAGCTGAACCTCAAGTTTCGGCTCGACTGGTTGACATCCCTATTTAATAACTTGCATTTGTGTGAATGAGAGCACGATATAGGGGATAAGCATTTGGCAAATTAGAAGTAGAGCGGATTGGACAAGAGGGGTAAAGAAAAACATGAGTGGAGGGACGAGAAAAAAGAGAGGAGACATTGCTTGTAAGTCTTAAATTCTTCTTGTGTTTGAACCATATGCTTCGAATAATTAACAAAAAAATTTCATAATTACTTATGATAAAATCCCATTAGGCTACGTGTGTGTATATATATATTTGTTAGATAATAGATAAAAGAGAAATCAAATTGCTTAATTGAATCAATTTAGAAAGTTGAGCTTTAGCTTAGGAAGAAATTAAGCATTGTTTGATCTAGTTAGAAATTAAAATTTTTAGTAAATTTTTATAGAAATTAATAAAATACATGGTTAAAAAATTGATAAAAATTATGAATTTCATGAATTTGTAGTCAAGATAAAATTTCTATGAAAATGAATTTCAAAAATTGGGTCGGGCTAAAGTTCGGCCACAATCATTTTCTGGTCAAAGTTTAGTAACCATTTGCGTTTTTCACCCTAATTCGAACAAACGGCCTACCCCAAAATAGGTTTAGACTTGGCCAATTTTGACGATGGGACAATTTTATATGTAAGATTTTAAATATTATACATTTCAAAATCAAGAAAACAAGTTCAAATTTCAAAAATTAGTTTTTATGGTTTAATTAATTACTTTATTAATTAAATATAATTAGGTCACAGATCTGCACAACTTGGTCACAAATTAACGATTTAGTTAGTCGCTTATTTTTTTTGTCACAAATAAAAAATTTTATGCCACAAATTATCTTACGATCACAATTCAAAAATTTTGTATGTCACAATTTGTTCATCGATTACAAATCAAATAATTAATTAATCATTGATTAATTTTTAGTTATAACTTAATTATTTATTAGTTACAACTTATTTCTTGATCACAAATAAAAAAATGAAAATTTCCATATTTACAAAATTTTCTCTCATAGAAGTCTGCCATAATAGAGAGAGTGTGTGGCATGTGTAATTAAAAAAAATGTCAAAAAAATCACCCACCCACGCCACTTGTGTTTTGTCTGTAATGTTCTGTAAGATTCTTTCTGTAAGTGCAACTTTGCCCCAAAAAAATTTATAGCTAACATATTATTTTTCGATAACGAATCAGAAATTTTATAGATTACAGATTATTCATTGATCAAAGAATAAAAACTTTTATTGGTCATAACTCATTTATTCATTGCAAGTTATTTGATTAATTGGTCATGATTAATTTTTCAATCACAACTTAATCAATGTGAGTTACAGTCACAATTTTTAGGTCACAAATTACAAATTAATCAATTATTATCACAATCAACCAAATAATTAGTTACAGACATCTAACCCCCTTTCTTCCAATCGACGACCATTGCCACGAACACCACAACCACCTTTACTATTATCATTACCACCACCATCACAATCTCGCAAAACAATACAAAACTATTGTTGTTTGCCACTGCAGTGACCACCAACGCCAACGCTACCACTGTCAACATCACGGCCAGCAACACTACCTCATATACTAAAAATCACAACCACTATTTCAATCACACAAATTTTATAGATTACAGATTATTCATTGATCAAAGAATAAAAACTTTTATTGGTCATAACTCATTTATTCATTGCAAGTTATTAGATTAATTGGTCACGATTAATTTTTCAATCACAACTTAATCAATTGTGAGTTACAGTCACAATTTTTAGGTCACAAATTACAAATTAATCAATTATTGTCACAATCAACCAAATAATTGGTCACAGACATCTAACCCCCTTTCTTCCGATCGACGACCATTGCCACGAACACCACGACCACCTTTACTATTATCATTACTGCCACCATCACACTCATCACAAAACAATACAAAACTGTTGCTGTTTGCCACTGCAGTGACCACCAACTCCAACGCTACCACCATCAACATCACGGCTAGCAACACTACCTCATATACTAAAAATCACAACCACTATCTCAATCACACCACATGCACCAAAAAAATCTCCAAATCCGATGCAATCGTCGCCACCACTTCATCACTACCACTGCCTTATGAACAATAACCACCACGACCTCTTCAATTTCACGACAGTCAGCAGTCCAATAGTGGTGTCGCAGTAGCACCTTTGTGTGCAGTGGCGATGGGCCTCAACCAATTGAAAATACGACCAAAGAAAAACACATATAGATACCAGTCACAGTCACAGCTCGCATCAGATTTCAACCATGACCTTCGGCGAGGCTGAACCAATAAAGGAGCAAGAGGTAAAAGGCTGAACTGGGAGAGATCTCTCTAGCAGCGCTCGTCGTCATCTCTCTAGCAGTGCTCGTTGCTACACACCAATTAAGCCACCAGTCGCTTGTCCGACGATGATGGGTTCTTGTTGTGTTGGTCGGAGCAGCTCTCTCGTCGACTGCTGAAGTCTGAATTGATGGAAGGAGAGAGGAAGAGGGAGGGGCAAGTCGGCAAATGTAGAGAGAGAGGAAAATGAAAATAAACTAGGATTGGATAAAATTTGTATTTTAATATTTAATATTTAAAATATCTTATTTTTGAACCGGGAAGCTTTTACTATGATTTTAGAGTAATTATCTTGAGAAGTAAGTGGGGATGTAGTTTCCACTTTGACGATTCTAGCTCAAATCGCAGAAAACTGGAGAGAACACCCACCCCCCGCGCCCACCCCGCGGGGTCATTGCCAACGTGACGAAACAAGAACCCTAATTCAAAACCGTCACCGCTCGGCTAATTTTCCCTCCATTCACAAACCCCCCAAAAATGTCTTCTCTGTACAGAGCATCGAAAGCTCTCAAATTATGCAGGGCAACACCGACTTCTTTTTCTAATAATAATTACACCAGCAGATTAAGTTCAACGTGCTATTTGGATTCTATTTTGGAGTGGACTCAAAGTGCATTTTTCGCCACGCATTCTAGCCATAATGCTAAGCCAACCATAGACTTGTGTCAGTACTCCTCTGATAAGATCCGGAACTTTTCCATTATTGCCCATGTTGATCATGGCAAGTCGACACTGGCCGACCGGCTTTTGGAGCTCACTGGAACCATCAGAAAAGGCCACGGACAACCCCAGTACCTCGACAAATTGCAGGTAAATGAATTCAAGTCTTGTTTATTAGGTTTTAATCTGGAATTGAATATGATATGTTGATCAAGTGTTTTACACGAGCATAATGGATATTTGGTTTCTGGGTTGATTTTATGTCAATTACTGATTCTCAATGATGCAGAGATATACCAACATTAGAAGATGTTGGAAATTATATTGGTGAAATAATACCGAATTTACGGGTACCGTATATGCATTTTAAATACCGAAATTGCACTTACCGTATATGCAATATACCATATATGCAGCATATCGTATATGCACAGATTGTATACCGAATTTGCACAAACTTTATTTTACGCATACAATAAGATTAAATACCGGGTTTTCTCATACCGGTTTATAATATTAGTTAATTACATAATAAACTAAATTATCATAAACCACGATATATTAATATAATCTAGAACTAAATTATATTAAGTTATGTAAAACACATTAATTTAATAAATCTAAACCGGAAAGCTGAAAATTAACAGAAATTTCAGAGAACAAAAAAAATTAATGACATGCTTATAATTTCATATAAACTTTTAATACGAGGCTTGTGTAAATACAGTGTCCTTAAAACAGATTCGCCCTCTCACCGTACGTGTTTGAGTTTTAATCTGAGCGTCTGTTTCTCAGGATACAACGGTATATGGTAGAATTTGAGCACCGCAGATACTACTCTGACGAACTGATTTAGTATCCGAACAATATCACCACAAGAACAAGAACTTACTGGACAATGAATGCGAAAAAGAAGAAACTGTGTATGCAGGAATGTAGGTGAGATTTTCAAGTGTGTTAGATTACTGGAGAATGAGCTTTTTTATAGGCATATTGCCCATTAACATTGTGACCATTGGAGTTACTGCCCATTAACACTATGACCATTGGGAGTCCATTGGAGTTTTTGTAATTTCAGAAACTCAAAAGTCATTGGAGAAAGCAAAAAATTGCAAAATGTGGGCTCTCCGAAAGGGTGAATTTTGCCTTGTTTGGTCCGACATTCGTGTGCGTAGGTCGCACCCGCACCCAAGTTTAAGGTCCGAAGGCTATTTCGGTCCGAGATTTGCACTCCCCTGCGCGCGCACATGGAGAGAGCTTCTATGCTACACATGATTACACCATTCCAAAGTGTAGGCATATATAAAGTGGTTCATGCTTTCTTCATAATGTCACTTTTCCCACATAAACCATCTTCCAATGGCCAATTTTGAGCTCCAATTTTTCATTCATCTGTTAATCAATTTTGGCAAGTAAATATATGGTTTCGATGCTCTCACGGAGGAGAATACAGATAAACTTTGATCTTCTAAATCGGACCAACGGGTCCCACTCAAACTTATGCCAAAAGTGACCCATTTACTCATTTTTCCAACAAATATCTGGTCAAAACCAATGCCAAAACTTTGATTATGCCATTCATAATTGAAATCATACATCCTTCCTGTTCTTATCTCGATTTTAGTTAAGCAACGATTTAGAATGTTAGACGAATGTGCAGGTGAATTTGAGAAATTATTTAAGGGTTTGATGAAAACGTAGAAATAAAGTATTAGCATTTTGTTCTTTTCTATTGGAAAAAGCGAAAATTGTGCATCTTTGGACAGACAAACCAGATACGGTTTGATGGGGGGTTTTTTCCCCATGCTCATTATATTGTTATTTATTATTATCCACAAGTCGGCTATCGATTTATTTATGGTGAAATGTTAGTTTTAAAAATAAACATGACATACTAGACTCCTATTGATGTAATTTGGATATATTTATGGTTGCGAAGTACTGGAACTCTATGTGTGTGCTTGTATTTAACACATTATTTCACACAACTACTACTACTACTTTATCAAGATCACATGTATTATCTTAGGTAGAGCGAGAGCGGGGAATAACTGTCAAGGCTCAGACAGCAACTATGTTTCATAAGCACAGCTTCCTTGGCACTGAAACAGAATTTTTAATGAACCTGATTGACACACCTGGGCATGTGGATTTCAGCTATGAAGTATCAAGGTCTTTGGCAGCTTGCCAGGGTGCCCTTCTTGTTGTTGATGCAGCTCAAGGCGTCCAGGCACAAACTGTTGCTAACTTTTATCTTGCTTTCGAGTCAAACCTCACAATAATTCCTGTTATAAACAAAATTGATCAGCCAACAGCTGATCCAGATCGTATTAAAGCGCAGCTGAAGTCTATGTTTGATCTTGATCCAAGCGAAGCTCTATTAACATCTGCCAAAACAGGTCAAGGTCTGGAGCAGGTCCTTCCCGCTGTAATAGAGAGAATACCTCCTCCTCCCGGGAAGAGTAATTCACTGTTACGTATGCTTTTGTTGGATTCATATTATGATGAATACAAAGGAGTTATCTGCCATGTAGCAGTTGTTGACGGTGCTCTTCAAAAGGGTGAAAAGATTTCATCTGCTGCAACTGGTCAATCCTATGAAGTTTTGGACGTCGGTATCATGCACCCTGAACTGATCCCTACTGGGGTGCTTCTAACAGGGCAAGTGGGATATATTGTCAGTGGCATGCGTTCAACTAAAGAGGCCCGTGTTGGTGATACTCTTTATCATACTCGAAGCACTGTAGAGCCCCTTCCAGGTAATCTCCCTCCAATGCTTATGATGTTGATTTTGTAATTTCAGGATCCTGATTTGCTTAACTTTTGATCCCCAATACTCATATACCAATATACATTGACCCGGACATGTAGCAAACATATAATGACCAATGTCTAATGTTTGGAACCTTGTCGTGGATTGCATCTCCACTCGAGAATCACAGAGAGAACTTTATCTGGAAAAAGAAGCAGAAGTATTTATTTAAATAATGTATTTGTATGGTAGAGGTATCTATATCAGTTCAAAAATTTGTATTTTACTGCTTCAAGGTTTTCGTCTCTGAACTGATTATTTTGATCAGTCCTAGCTAGGGGTGTAAACGAGCCGGGCCGAGCCGGCTCGCGAGCCTAAAGTTTCGGCTCGGGCTCGACCCGGTTAAAATAGCCGAGCTTTTTTGCTGGCTCGAGCCGGGAAAATAGGCTCGGCCTGAGCTTTTGCTCGGGCTTTTTACGGGCCGAGCCGGGCGGCTCGTTTTCTCCACTAATTTTTTTTTTTTTTTTAAATATTAGTCTTCTAATCTGCTGCCTTTTAAGGCTTCATTTGATATATATATATATTTTTAAATCTTGCGTCACGGGCCGGCTCGGGCAAAGCCCATGTCCCCAAAATGGGGCTCGGCCCGAGCCTAGGCTTGGGTCAACCGAGCCCCGAGCCGAGCCGGCTCGGGCTTTTTCGAGCCGGCGAGCCCGATTGCCATCCCTAGTCCTAGCCTTAGGCCATGCCCACAGGTTCATGTAGAATGATTCTAAATTAATACTAGAGAAAATGCTACTCAGACATTGCTGCAGTTTTGTAACAGACAAGACATGCCCTCTCAACTTTTATCTGCATGGTAGGAAAGGAAGAAATCTATATATTATTTAAATTTCACAAAATTATCTTTATTTACTGACCCAGAGGCCCAAGCATATCATTTGTATACTTTTTATGCAGTTTCCGATTTCGAATGAATTAAATTTAAGGATTTCTAATATTTAAGATCTAGCAAATCTTCTAATCTACCTAGCTTTTTCTTTAACTTGTTTCACTTCTTGATTTGAAAAGGTTTCAAGCCAGCCAAACATATGGTATTCTCTGGTCTATATCCAGCTGATGGATCTGATTTTGAAGCACTTAATCATGCCATTGAGAGACTCACTTGCAATGATGCGAGTGTCTCTGTTACCAAAGAGAGTAGTTCAGCACTTGGCTTGGGATTCAGGTGTGGATGTGCAGATCTCCTTTAAAGTTTAACATATCATCTCTCTGCCCTTTCAGTTCGGGCATGGTATTTTTAATCCTGACTATTTCTAGTTCCCAACAGGTGTGGTTTCTTAGGCTTACTCCACATGGATGTTTTTCATCAGCGGCTTGAGCAGGCAATATTCTCTCACTTATTGTAAATACTTTCTGCGTTATTTGAAGTGATGACATATGCCAATTTACTTGCAAGTTTTCGTGTGGAAGTTGTTATGAATATTGTTTTAGGAAAAAATGATGTCAATACACTATTCGTGTCAGATCTTCTAATCTCTTATAAATATTCTGATATGTCACATTCCCTGCAATACTACTGCAGCCTCCTGTATTATTGAAGAGAAATGTAATTAGTATATATCCTTTTGCCCTCGTTTGGCCTTTCATTTCATTTTTTCTCTCCTATTTTCAATTACACAATTTTCCATAAAATAATATTACACGTAAATAAAGATTTTTCCTTCTTTTTCAACTACTCATTTTTTTTTAAAAAAACTATTCTACTAATTTTCATTTCTACAAAATGGGGGCCAAACGAGGGTTAAATGACATGTTATAAAACTAAAGAACAAAGAGAGAAATATAAGAAAATAAATAGAAAAAGTAAGATTTACTCTTTTCCAGAGACATTGTAAAAATCTAACTTCCTTTCATATTTTTAATTAGCTCTATCATGGAAATTGTTGGTTTGTTTATGTTCTTAAGTTTTTGTTTCATTTTCGCTTGTCTAAAATAACAAAATCGTAGCACTTTCTTTAACTTTTTAGTTCGATCAAAGTTTTTTTTTTTTTTTTTTTTTTTTTTGATAAAGTCACGTTTGGTATCGATTGAAATTTAAGTTTTAATCTAAATCAAAGTTAATAATTAATTTTAATAACATATTTCATGGATTCCTTAACTTCTAAAATTTTATCAAAATTTACTAAAAATCGGACTTTAATTCCCACCAAACACAGACAAAATCACAATAAATTTGAATTTTCTCTCTTTTTTATTGCTCTATCGTATTTTCTCCCTCAAACCTCTTACCAATAACCTTAATAAAGACATGGGGCAAATGTGTTCACACTTGTTAACCCGCCTAAACTCTCCTTCCAGCAAGAATTTTACCTTGTCACACTAGCAAATTATTTTTAAAATGTTACGGGCTCCTGGAATATTTAGTCAATACCATAATTTGGTACGTTGACTGAATTGTAATAAATCCAAAACAGAAATACTATACAATAACTACTGGAAAAAATATGATATGATAAAAAAGTTGTAAGCATCTGTCACCTCAATGTCACGCATTGTCGTTTTTTGAGTAACAGGAACACGGAGCTCATGTGATTTCCACTGTTCCTACTGTGCCATATATTTTTGAGTATGCAGATGGGAGGTATGGGGACCATTATGACTGAATTTAGATATTTCTTTCTATATGTTTTATCAAATGATAGTTTTATCCATGTTTAATAGCAAAAAGCATATTCACAATCCTGCTACATTGCCGTCAAATCCTAAACAGCGTGTGACAGCTTGTTGGGAGCCTACCGTAACAGCAACAATTATAATTCCTAGTGAGTAAGCTCTCAAGCTCTATGTGGTGCTGAAATTTTTCTGTATCTTTAATGCATTGGGTTGTCCTTAAGGTGCTAGCCGATGAACTTAGAAGCATTAACTATGTTTAGTTCCATCACTTTTACTTGAAGGTATGTGGGCTCTGTTATAACTCTTTGCTCTGAACGGCGAGGGGAGCAGTTGGAACACTCGTTTATTGACAGGTGATTATTCCTAGGATGATGAATGTAATCTAGCGTGTTCCTATTTTTATGGTTTGGTTCTTGAATGAACTATACGGTACAAACTTCAACTGTCGGTGCTCATATATCCAAGTTCTTTATCACCCTATGTTTAGAGCATTCTTAAGAGGATGTTTGATTTCTATTTTTCTTAAAATACATTTTTCTCTTCTTATTATTCATTAAAATAATATTACACATAAATAAAAAAAATTTCCTTCTTTTTTAATTACATATTCTCCATCAATCTACTATTTCAAAATACATTCTTAAAAAAAAATGTGGCTCAAACACACCCTAAATGTCTTTCCCTCTAGTGCAGCAGCAATTTTCCTTTTAAAGCCTTTTCTTGAATTTTAACGCAAATCGAATATTGAGATTATATAAATATGTTCTAAAGGTTGGTTTTTAGCCAACCAGAAAGGGAGCCATTGAAGATTCTGGATTTAACAGGGGTTGATATAACATGAACCTGCTTTAAAATTTAAACTTCAAATGGAAACAGAGTTCCAGCTACCAGTTTTAGGATAAAGCTGGTTAAAACTTCGAAGCCAAGCAAACTCAAACATTATTAGTCTTTTAAATCTGTGTTATTTGCTCCAAGAAAGTAGATGTCGCTATTACTCCAAGAGAAAACAATCTTTAGCAGATTTTATGTCCAATGACAATGTCTGTTAATTCATTTTCTATTCGAAACATTCTGGTAACAAAATTGCTCAAAGTATTCAATAAAAGTTCTCAGTTGCGTATTCAAAAAATAGGAAAGTGGATTGCTGAAAGTTGGAATGAGTTTGTTCGTAATTTAACTTATATTATGTGTTTCACTCGAAAACTGGGATGGAAGTTAATTTTAGATAAATTTTATTTTCCGTTTCTGGTCATTTTAATCACCTATTATTCTTTTTCTCCCATCTGAGGTTCACCGAATGTAAGGATAATATGCTGTGTATATCTTGTGTGCAGTCAAAGGGCTTTCATGAAGTATCGATTACCTTTGAGGGAAATCGTTGTTGACTTTTACAATGAATTAAAGAGTATAACTTCGGGATATGCATCATTCGATTACGAGGATGCAGAGTAAGTGTTGGTTCTCTTCTTCTCCCTCTTTACTTCATCCACTCACACATATTAGCACTGGTGGGCTGAGTTATTCTTGAATTGAAACATGTAAATGAGGGGTGTGATTCCAAATAATGGGTTTCCCTGACAGCTATCAGGACTCCGACTTGGTGAAACTCGATATCCTCTTAAATGGACAACCAGTGGATGCAATGGCAACTATTGTTCATAGATTGAAGGCGCAGCGTGTTGGCCGTGAACTTGTGGAGAAGCTGAAGAAATACATAGACAGGTCTATTAATTCAATATAGTTTAATTAATTTCAATTTCGATTTTTGTTGTAGACAGAATCTTAATGCAATATTGAACAGGCAAATGTTTGAGATAACCATACAAGCTGCTATTGGATCAAAGGTCATTGCAAGGGAAACGTAAGTTGTATAACTTGTTCACAGCAAGACTGGTCTTTAATCATAATCAATTTAGGTCTCTGCATTCTTATAAATTTTATGAATGTTTGTTCTATTCATTTTTCAGCAGTGATCTACAACTTTTTAACTCGTGTTATGTCACTCAAGTTAAAGAAAAACACGTTATCAAATGTTCAAGTCTTTTTTATAAGTGATTTTATCATGAACATAGAATCTAAAATTCTGAGAGACTCCCGTCTCAGTAGTTTTTTTCACTTTACATATTTCAGGCTTTGTCAAATATGTTTTCTATTCAAAATAAATGTCTTTTCCCCCCTCAATTTTGTCTTCTGCCCTTTGGGTTGTGTAGGGTTTGGCATACTAAGAAATTAACTTTTTCAATTAGTTTGTATTGTTTGCTTTATTTATTTCTGTTTTCAGATGCCTTCATAAATGCCTGCTTCCATGGGTGTGTAGACATACTTCTTCAATTTGTTTCAGTTTATTTTTCTATTTTTCAGGGTTTCGGCTATGAGGAAAAATGTACTTGCAAAATGTTACGGTGGTGATGTAACTAGGAAAAGGAAGTTGTTGGAAAAGCAGAAAGAAGGAAAGAAGCGCATGAAGCGAATTGGCTCTGTTGATATACCCCAAGAGGCTTTTCATGAGCTGCTAAAGGTTTCATGAAGAAAAGAGGATGTAATAGGGCCTGAAGTACATGTATCCAATTACTTCGTTATTAACTCAAAATGATTCCTCTCAATAGGTATTGAGTGCCAATAGAAGGCATCCCAGTTTTTGATTTGCCAGGAAAAGTTGATTTAGTATAAATGTAAAATAATATATATATATTTTTTTCTCCTGAACTATTACTATAACTTCCTCAGCAAATAATTTATATGTTTGCTGACACCGGGGAAATGTTGGACAGTGGGTGTAATGTCTCTGTATGATTTTCTGTAAATGACACTCAAAGATTTATTTATATGATGAAGCATGGTAATTTTCATTTTGAGTGATTATCATCTATCATGATCTGGCTTGGCAACAAAATGACATGGTTGATATTGATGTTCAAATGCAGGAACTGTTATAGAATTGATGGTATGATAATTTCTGACATTGCTATATGTTTGTTGTAAACTTTGTATCTTTGGTTTTCATGATTTTTGCCAGCGTACTCTTTCCATGTGTATAAATAACTTCGTTAATATTTCTTATTCATATCAAAGTCGTGGAAATTACAAGAAAGACTTTTTTGTACAATGTCCTTTAGAAAGAGAACCAAAAGGGCTAATAAAAAATTTCATTAACATGCCAGGATGAAGGACTGAAGGTCCTAAAGACCCATCAATCAGTTTGATCTTAATTTTCCACAGGAACTCTGCAGAATAGAAAAGCCAATGGAGATTTTCGCACCTGCAGGCTTCCAGTTTTCCAATTCAAAGATGCTGACTTGCCCAAATAGCTGGATGCACATCCTTTATCATCTGAAGTAAGTGGATTTGACGTTTGTGGCCTGTATATGCTCAAGCTACTTCTAGCCAATATTTTTGCCTTTATCATTATTCACTTGTGTTGCATTTCCATTAGCTACCATTGATGAAATAGCGGTAGTTATTACTGATTGTAAACTCGGGTCTGACTTAATTACCTTAGTTAAGGTTTCTGTTAGAGCCTCTTGTTGGTTTAACTTTTTTGGATATGATTGAGATGATTGTTCTTGTGATGGTCTTCTAAAGTGTGCGGAACTAAGATGGTTACTATTATAAGGATATATACCATAATTAAGGCTTCCATTGCCCCAAACTGTTGGTATCATGTAGGATTCTGAAGAAGAAAAACTCAAACTTGTTGAAGGAACTCTTGGAATTGATTTAAAACTTGATGAAAACATGCTGAAGCCACTTGATGCAGTGGTGGGTGGATTAGTGGTGAGGTCTAAAGTGATTGTAGGAAATGGAGTTGAAGAGGAGTTGGGCAAACAGAATGCCCGTGCTCGGGAAATATCAGAGAGATTGGGATTTGGTCCTCTAAGACTGTAAGTTGGGTCAACGTTGGCTGGTGATGATACAAGCCCTGGTTGAGAATTTGATGATCCAGAGAGAAGCATTGAAGCAGCTGCCGAGGTGGTGGAAGCCATGGCAGTGGCAGAAGGTGGTAGTGGGTGGTTATGAGTTCCTTCATATGTTGTGATCAAGATTGATGTGTCTTCTGAACATCGTTGCACCTGAAAACAACAGAAGAATCAGATTGAATAATAAAGCCAAATCAAAATTCAAGAATAAATATTTAATTTAAAGAGAAAATTCTTTATCTATATTCTTATTTCCTTCATATTTTTTTTAAAAAAAAAAAAAAAAAAAAAGAAAAAAAGAAAAAAGAAGGAACTTTTCACAGTTATGTTTCCCTTCTACTCAATGAAATCTAGGATCCAATTGAAACCTAAGAACGTCCACATATTCCTAAATAAACAATAATAATCTATCTGTCCAATCATGTGATCCATAGAAATAAGAAAATAAGTGGAAATAATAGCATCAAATCATATGCAAGTCATATGTTAATTTGACATTGACAGTTGAATGTGGAATATTACTTGTTTTCTGACTGGGCATGATGGGGAAACTGTACACCGATAGTATGCCCTTGGACATGGATTGCCCTTTGAAATTTTCTGTCCATATTTACGCCATTGGCATCCATCATTCATCTGCAGGAAAACTCTATAATATTATTCATCTGATGCATATGATTATTAGAAAAAGAGATAGCCCATAAATAGAAATGAGAAAATCAATGACGACGCAGTTTTACTCACTGTTGTGGTCTCACATCTTGCTCTTACAGAAACTCTAGCTCTCTTTACATTGGTTTGAGAAAGTTCATCTTCTTCACTTCTCAGTGTCTTAAGCTCCATGGATCCTGCTTTTGACCCCGTAAAATTGTAGTCTGATTCATTTTCTTCTCTGCTGCTAGTATTTTTCTCTTCCTTTTTAGACTGATCTCTTAAACTCATTCCAAGTCGAAGAGATATGAGTTCAGTGTCTTCTTCAATGGTGGGATCAATTGGATTGTTGTCTTTGTCGGTTTCTCGAAGAATATCAAAGAATCGCATTTGTAGAGTTCTGTAATCCTTATCTATTTGTTGTAGCAGCATCTTTAGTCTTGCATTTTCCTCTCTCACTCCTGTCATTTTGGCTTTGGTTGATTCAACTTCATCTTTCTGTCAACCATCAGTAAATCTTCAGTACAAATTAAAGAGATCCACGCCGACAAAAAAATAAATAAATAAATAAATAAAATGAGCTTTTATTTGTCTCAATAAGTTTGGAGCAGGTGTCAGTTATATGGATTTTTTTTATTCATATTTAGCCCTTGTTTGGGCTCCATTTTTTTAGTAAATGTATTTTTCTCTCTTATTTTCAACCACACATTCTCCAATAAAATAATATTACACAAATCAAAAAAATTTCCTTATTTTTTAACCACACATTCTCCAAAAAATCACTATTCCAAAATACATTTTTCCTCACATTCGCTTTAAAATGGAGCCTAAATAGGGGCATAGTCATTTTATTATTTTGCTCTTACATGGTTGTGTCCGCATGGACAAACAGATATATTGAGTTATTTTCTTGTCTACAAGAAGATCTAAGACAACCGGATACTTTGCAACAATTACATGTCAATTGTCCTGCTATTTCCAGTTTACTCTTTCCTCTTCTGACATGTTCTACGAAGTTCACATCAGTTTATAGATGGAAGACTCTTTTTGTTCTTCACAAAACATCTTCCGATTGCCTAAGTAGTCATTTTCCTTGGTGTCACCCTCACTTGTTGGCTTACATCCTCATATTTT